GGGTTGTATTCCATGGGAGATCTGGGGAACTAAGTATTTTCTGAAGGGCATTCTTAGCTCCATATGCTATAGAGCAAGTTCAATGGAAATGTATTTTCTAGCTTGCTCTGTGGATAGAAAATGCAACAGAGTCCAAATGGCCTGCTCTGCTTTCTCTTGGTGCATTCCCAGCCACTTACCTACACCATCATACGGTGATGGGCAGAATCCAGGAACTGTATGGCTGAATGAAATCCTATAAATATAGTTTGTTGGGTACAGGAATACTGTTGTTACAGCACTGTCTTCTATAGTCTCAGATGTCCTTGTTTGTTCAGCCTTTCCTTACACACTTGGTTTCTGAGGATTCAAGGCATTTCCTTTACTACTTTCTAAACAATCTCCATTGGGCCACTTTTTTTCTGGCCCATTTTTTTTCTGTTATGCTCCAAAAACTGGGTAATTTATGGGCTCACAGGTACCTTCCAACCTGCTGACCATACAGCTTTCCATAGCTGACATGGCCTCTGCTCCTGGCACAGGAGAGTTGTGGGGATCTGTGGTGCTTCTTGTCATCTGCTAGGATGAGAGGGCTTGTAAATCCAAAACCCTGCAGCGAGAAATGGAAGTGATAAGAGCACAAGAAGGATATGGATCAACAGAAGCAAAATAGTGATAAAATATGGTACCTCAAAGGAGCTCGTAAGTTGAAATTTTGCTTACCAGTAAAACTTGTGGGAACAGTCTAGTTACAGAGTAAATCCTGATGGAGATGCAGGAACCCTGAGATTGTATGTGTAAAAGCAGAAACAGGATGCTGTCCTGTGGCACAAGCAGGCTGCTTCTCAAGCCCATCTAAATGGGACATTGCTACAAAGGGGAATGCCAGCTCTGAAGGACGTAGCTCTTTATTCTTTGAGAGGTTACAGTGTTCATTTTCACACATTTTAGTTATTATATCAGAACCTCTAGTGGAAAATCCTAGATTAAATTGCACCAATTTCTCCTGTTCCTGGGATTACTCTATAGAAAGAAGAGCTGAGCCAGACTCTTTGCGTTCTGGTTCTGAGTTGCAAACCTTTACTGCAGCCCTTGTGCTCCCTCTTGGATGGTGCCTCAATGCTTGGAACTCTGTCCCAGCCCCCGCTTGCCCACTGGGCTGTGCCTGCAGCAGAGCTCTGGCAACACCAATTTGGTGCCCAGCTCTGCTGCAGGTTCCATCAGGTGGCTGGTCCCACAGTTCCCAGATGGTCCATTTGTATCTGTCAGTGTTGGTGAGCACACTCAGCATCCCAGGGTTCCTGCATGGAAAATTTCACCTGTGTTCATGAGATAGAATACGATCAGGGGATCACATTTTCCACCATGAATTACCTTTCTGTCTGAGGCATTTTCTCTCTCAAATGTAACAATCCAACCTAAGCTGCATTCCAGAATATTTTTTAGAGAGTAAAAGCTACTTTACTAGCAAATTCCTCTTATGACAGGCATCAGCCATCATCACTCATCTTTCTCAAGTCATGATGCTCAGTGTTGTACCGTGCCTGGTGCTAGAGAAGCTCAAAGCTCCAAGGGTTCTCCGAGTAAAAATATGTATAAATGCAGCTAAGTAAAACTATCCTTCTACCATCTGTTCCCTAACCCAGAACCCTACATAACTCTTGACTGCATTATAAAAGGAAAAATAAATGAAAAAATATTCCTGAGTCTGTTCTTCAGTCAGAAGATTATCATATGGATATGTTACCCTCTTCTTACTTCCCTGGCAGAAATGAATGACAAAGCAACTGTCTCCTGAGCAAGTAAAGTCCCCCAACCAGTAATTATTTCCCCTGATCTAGTGAGCATCTTGGGAATAGAGATTTTTATTATTGTTATTATTATTATTATGGTAAACTGCTCCAGGAATGGTTTCAAGAAAAGAAGTAAACCTTACATTATATTCAGATAATGTTCTTAACTTCTCAACAAGATTTACTAAATTGCACCCTGGGAATTATGCAAATGAAACCTTTGGTCAAATGTTACAAGATTACTGTAAAAACATATATATATTTCTTCTAAAACCTCATTAAGGGTTCTAAAATTACATGTTCCAATAGAAAAAGCATGTGCCTTTGTGCAATGAATATCTCCCTAGTAGTAATACACACTATGCTCCATTGTCAATGGTCTTTGCAACTTTCTGTGACAATTACAACTACTTATGTGATTTTTCTGAACACTTCACATCCCTGTGTTCTTTCTTGAAATGGAATTAAGTACAGGTAGCACGAAAACCATTGTAGTGTGATGCCAATTAACAACAAATAATGAGTCATTGTTGAATATTTGCAACGTATTTCCCCTTATCTTTGTTTTGCTCAGTGCAGTATAATTATCTCATGGATTTTTCATAGTATAATTGGGTAAGTCTTGTGGGTCTTATGATATATTTCATCTCTAGATCTGCAACAATTTACATACAGACAGCTTAGACCCTATTAATGCTAATAAAAGTGCTGCAAGGACATCCTATAGCATACACTTTATTAAACTGTACATTGCTTTCTTAGAGAGCTTCTGTTTATCTGCATTTCCTGAAAATAAAATATAATGCCTTTAGCGCTGAATATTTAAATCCAGCCTCTTTTTCCCTGTTTCTGGCTCTCTCTATGCATTTCTAATGCTTGTATCGCAGTGGGATCTGGGTACTATATGCAACAGGAAATAGAGCAGAAAAATGTTCATAAAGAACTAACAAACTCTCCCCTTCCGTAATTCAGGTTAAAATTAAACCAGTCTGGAGACTGGTTTGCTCTTTGGTGCTTGTGCTCAAGGTACAGCCATAGTTGACCTGTGCTGGGGTGGGGACACCCGCATGGCTCCCGTGCTTCAGTGAGCAATTGGGCAGCAGAAGTGCAGATACTTTGGGGTTGTTTTTTTCCTTCAACTTTTGTTAAAGAAATGCTTTGTTAAGGGTAAAGGACTGGTTTTATCCTGACATGTTACAGGTTGTTTGGAGCTGTGCAGGCACATGCTGATAGAGACAGATTCACAGCTGTGTGTCTCAAGTTAACCATTTTTTTCCCTTTTAATTTCTAAGACAGAGCAGCACACCGACTCAAAGCAGGAGGTCCAGTGGTGGCTTCCTATGTTTTCATTTACCTTGAGGCTGACTGCAAACATGTAGGTAGTGGGTTAGAGCTTGAACTCCCTGACTTGAGCTATACATTTGCACAGACATTCACAAAAATGCAGTGTTCAGCTCTGTCTGCCTGGCAGGGGGAAAGCTGACTTTCTAAAAATGGGGGCTGTGGGCTTCCGTTATTGAGCTGGTGAGTCGATTGCCATCATTAAATCACAGTTGTGCAAGGAAAGCTTGATTTTAATATACTCTTTTTCACCCATGGATTTGCTAATGAAAATTGGATTTATACCCATCTAGTTGAGTCCCTATTACAAATACCCAATGGGCCCACAAAAACCTGTAGAAAGGGCTGTGTGCAGCATGAGGGCGCTTCCACAGTGTCCCCAGTACCTCTTTTAAGTGATTATACCAGTGCAAGTCCAATCAGTTTTCTTTGGTACTAATAGCCTAAACAAGCAGTGAATCCTGTAGAGACAAGACAGATGAAACTGTCTCTGTTCCCTGACCTTCAGCTCCAGAAGTGTAGGTGCAGCACGAATCAATCCTGGCAGTGTCCAGTAATAGCTGACATTATTAGCTGTTAACAGGAGCAGACTATTTGGTGGAGGCAGCACAAAGAAAACAGTGTACAAACTTTTTAATGATCTGGACAAAGGCATCAAAGGAGATTTTTCAGACTCAGGAGGGCTGATATTATTCTGCACCAACACATTCAGCATCTTGTCAGCCTCCTGCATCCTGGAGAGAGACAAATAGGGGTAGGTTACGTGCAGGAGGAGTGCGAGAGTAGCCCACAACCCAATCCCAATTTCTTTACCTCCTGTTCCATTGTGAAACCACCTCCACTCTCCAAGTAGGGGCTGTCTGGGGGAACACGGGAGCCACCTGCATCCCACTGAGCCCACTCAGGCTCCTCTGAGTGTGCAGCTGCCCTAGCAGAGGTGCTAACATGCACTCAGCTACAAGATTTCTATTATCTTCCCACTACTTTGTTGTATTCATAGATCTGTTAGGGAAAAATTTATGCACATCACTTTTACACTGCCAAGACAGTTTGTGATGGTGTGGGGGGTGGTAATTTATTTGTTCCTTGCACTTTCTTTCAGGAATAGTCATGCTGTTGCAAGAACTTCTTTCAGCATTTGATCAGAAAATTAAATTTGGGTTTAAAGAGATAGTCAGGGTTGCTAGGACAACATATTAACCTCCCCTTTTCATTTTCTCTGCTCTGTATCTAAGGTTCATGTAATTCAATGTGCTGTATTCGGTTTGTGGTGGTGTTCTCAAGGGCTGGGAAGGAAGAGGTTTCAAGAGCAATGTGCCAAATATGCTCTTCCTCAACAAACAGTTGAATGAAATGGTGACATCCCACCAGGCATTCCCAACCTTGCCTCATCAAGCCAGCAGGGTTGGACGAAGAGGGAGCAAACAGCCCCGTTCTTCAAATTTCATGGGAGTATTTGTCTGCACAGTCACAGGGACTGAGAACAGGATGTGGGAGCTCACAGACAGCATTTTCAGAAGTGATTAATGGCTGGGAGACTCCAGGTCTGACTGAACAATTTGGACACTTTAAGGAGCCTAGGGTTTCAGTAACATGTAAACAGCATTTTTCTGTTCATATAGATTCTTCCACATCTTAGGCAAAAAGACAGAATTTCAATGATTCCTAGAGAATCGTCATGAATAAAAGAGGAGAAAAATAGCTGCGAATATGTGGAATACACTTTTCCTGGCTTTTCCCCAAACCTTTGACATACAGCTCCCTTGTCAGAATTGACAGCAGTATTACATTTATGCAGCTTTCAGGCTCAGATCTTTAAAGCTGTTTAAACATCCATATGGCTTTTGTCCAAAACTTATTGATTGCTGTCTTTGTTATTTCACCCAGATTCGTTCCGATAAGGACAAAGAGATCCATATCAGATACAGCATCACTGGAGTGGGAGCCGACCAGCCGCCAATGGAAGTCTTCAACATTGACCCTGTGTCTGGCAGGATGTATGTGACTCGCCCAATGGACAGGGAAGAAAGAGCTTCCTACCACGTAAGCATAAAACATCTGGAGTTTTATCTAGGTTCACAAGCTCAAAGCAAAACTGCACCAGAATTGCTGGGTTTAAGAAGGGACTGTGCAGCTTTGAGAAGAATGGGAGTTTTGTTCAAAATCAGAGCCCAGTTCCTGACTCCCTGTGTCAGCAGAGCCCTGAGGAGCTGGCTGCACGGAGGTCAAGGAACAGTGAGAGTCTGACTCGTGTGTGTGTGTGTGTGTGTGTGTGTGTAGCTGCTGGCTTTGTTTCTTCTTCCTTTAGCGTAACCTGCCCTTGCTAAATCAGCCAAACCAATGCAAAGCAGCATTAAGCTGATGTCCTTTTCGGACACAAAGTCACAGCCATTTGTTTAAAGCAGTGCAGCTTCACACTGCTTATTAAATCCATGCAAATTTATGTGTGGACTTAACCCCCCAAAACCATGAGGAGCCAGTTGCTCCATTAGCACATCTTGGGAAATTACTAATATAAGAATCATTACTGCAGCTAAACATTCAATAATTGGTATAGTCATTTTTCATTTTAAACCACTAGGAGATGTTCAGGCAGTATGATGTGGGTGTGTCTGATAGGTTTTTAAATATGCAGATAGACTAATATTAAATATGAGAAAATTAATTAAGATTAATTACACTCAAAAGTGGTGCCTCGTGCTATCCTAGTTCATAAAATGCTCTACCTGCAGAATACTTAGGGTGTAATTGGCCATTATGTTTTTATATAAATCCTAGCCCCTGTATTGCACAGCTTAATTGCACAGCAGGTAGAGTCCCATAAATTGCTAAAAAAATGTGTTGTGCTTTGCACAATAGTCCTGCAAAATTTCAGACACGTTCTGCATCAACGCTGTAGTTCTCCCCTGGAGTGGTTGTGAAAGGTTGTTTCATGGATTGCTTTGTCTCAGCATTAGCCACATCCATCGGCACCATAATAGCTGTTCCCAGGGATGCTGTAATGCCAGGAAACCACGGGTCACTTCCAGTGACACCATATTCCTGACTGCGCCGTTGGAGGTGCACGTTCTGTCAGCTTTATCAGGTATCCAGTTAACCGTGTTGACACAGCTTCTGGACTGGGGTGGAAGGATAAAGAAAATAGATTACCTCTTTAGTTGGGTGGAAAAAGAGATTTCCCCAGGGTGAAAGAAGATCTGAAGGAAAATTATTTTATCCTCTGTGAACAAGAACAATTATTTTGTTTGTTGTGCCTAGGAAAATACAAAGAGAGGTTGTTTTGAAAAAGGAATGTTTGAGATACAGTGTGTGTCATCTCAGCGGTGTTGATATTGTTTCAGAGTGCCAGGTTATTATAACAGAGTAGTCAATAATACAATACACTGTGATGTCTGTTATCAGACACTTTCAGTCTAAAACATAAGATGGAAAGATTTTGTCCTCCATAATAACAAATCATGTGCCCCTTAATAATGAACTTAACCTGCTAGTTGCAGTGAATTCAGTAAGCTGAATTCTGGCCTTGGCAAAGGTGACTGGTTAAATCTGCCTCAGACACACTGCAGAATTTCCAGCCTTTTCTGTTCCTTACAGAAACCTTGAACTAGTAACATCCACATGTAAATAAGAATATTCACACTCTGAAGGTTACAGGAAGATGTAGTTTATAGAGAGTGAATAACAGGTAAGTATGTTAGGAGACCTTATAGACAGGAATAGTGAGTGATGGAAAATCTTTGTTAGCGAAACAGCAGAATGTGATTGAGAGCATTTTAAGTCACGGCCATAAACAACCTTTAGCTCTTTCAGCTTCAACAGGAATGGATTGGTGATATGTTGAACCATCAAGTGATCATTTAATAACCCTTTAGAAAGCATTTATAAATACATCATGTACAAAGCAATGACCCAGATGTAATTGCAGAAACTCACAGTAGGAACTGGGCTATCCTAGAAACTGGAAAATATTAGGCCACCTTCCAGAAAGGAGATACAATCCAAAGTCTCATCTGTTGCAAGTTTCAGAGAAGTTGATTAATTTATGCCACTTTATATAGCTTAGCTGCTAATTGAAAGGAAAGGTGGACTTGAAGCCAAGCTTACAGGGAGTCCTGGAAAAGCAGCACCTGAGGTGCAGGTGTGGATCTGAACTGTAGAGCTTGGCCATCTTTAAATTGGCTTGACATCTGCTGATGAGTTTTCTTTAGCTTGGACTAATAGTTTAACTCTTAAGCTGGGGTGAAGGATGTCAGTGAAGCTGCAAGGCACCATTCCTGGTCCCTTTTATCAGCAGGACATGGATTTCTTGCCTGATAGGGGCTTTTCTTCTCTGGCTGAAGATGGATACATTTTTACAGCTTCAGGTTTTCTGCAGTCATAAACAGAATGAAGTCTTTTCAGCATCTCTGTCACTGTTGAGTGTTGTCCTTGCTGTTTTCATTCCCAGGTAATCTAAAAACTAATTATAAAAAAAATAATAATAATGCACAAGTGTTTGTGAGGCTACATATGAAGAGTTCTGTTTCATTAACTCCCACATTTTCAACACATATTTTCTTATGCATAATTATCTACATTGCTTCAGGACTACCATTTTTAAAATACTAGTGCTTTAATTCTCCCTGCATTTTGCAAGCCATTTGTCTGATGAAACCTACTTTTTTCCCTAAGGTGGAAGCGATTTTTTCTAATTAGATCAGGACTCCTGCAGCAGAACTTCCCTCGTTTTCAAGATCATTTTTGAATGCTTAGGGAGGATCATTCCAAGCTTGATGTGTGCAGAGATGTAGGTGGCTGTGGGACAGGGTGTCTGCCCAGGTTCGGTGTGTGCCAACATTCCTGCATTAACCTCCTGGCACAGCTGGCAGCGCTGGTGGTCACAGGTTCAGCTGTATTTTGGCCTCATCTGTTTTCTCATCTGCACTACAAACCAGAGCATAAGCTCTCCAGGGACCTTGCAGGCATTCCAGGCACAGAGTCAGCTGCAGATATGAGCAGAGAAAAATGAGAAGGGCTTTGCAGCCACTTACCCAACCCCACGCTGAGTGCGGAGCTGCACGTGCTGCGCTGAGCGGTGCTGTGGGAGCTGCTCCAGCCTCTGCAGCTCCTGTGTCTGGGGACACAGCCCTGGGACACGCGCCCTGCACAAGGACCACCTCATTTCCCCCCTCTTGCTGCCATCTCAGTGTGGCAGCCCCATGTCGTTGTGGCTCCCCTTGCAGTTCTTAATGTTTATTGCATGCCAAATAAGTTTCAGCAGGTAGTGTAATATTTAATATGCATGAGTTCTCTTGACCTTACTCAGCTGCATTCCCAAAGTCCTGCTCGTACCACTGACAGAATTAGGGACTCTGAATGTCTTTTCTGATCCAGACAGCAGTTTCTTATCAAGCTGCAGTTAGGCCTGGCAAATACATGGGTTAGTAAATCGGCAGGTTAGTTGTCCAAGACATTTTTCAAGCTCTGTTTTCAAAAGACATCAACATAAGCATGTCAGTAAGTAGTCATTACTCCTGATACTCAAGTAATGTACATTATGGGGAGACTTTGAAGCAAGTCCTAATCAAGTCCCAGACACGTGTATCCCTTCAGCATCATGCTGATGAAATATTGTCTCAGAAATGGCTGGAGCAGAACAGGTGGGTTATTGTCTGCGAAGGAGTTATTTGAAGTGCAAGGAGGCAGGGAAGCATTCTGGAAATTAAGGGATACAAGAGCTAATCTCCAGTATTTTGAAACAAGTTCTAGTGAGTAATGCCAGCCATTTGTGTCACAGTACTCTAATTTGAACTTTTAATCACAATTAAGAGCACACAAATTAGGCGTGACATTGTATGCTTATTGCCTAAAGGCTCTGTCACTGATTGATAACGTATATTTGTATTAGTGGTATTAGTGCATAAGTAATATTCATATTTAACATAATTCACTGTGTTGACTTTGACTAACTACCTTCAGATACCACCAGCCTCCAGTGTAATCAATAATCATGATACTGAAAGATTTGTATGCCAGCAACTACATTTACACTGGAAACTATCAGTAGAAAAACCTCAGAGACCTGTGGTAGCTGCTGCTGAATATGATAGCAACAATTGTCATACTTCTAAACAATATTTATTAAAAAATATTGAGCCAACTCTTTGGCTAGGGTACAGCAGAGTGATACACCAGCTAGAGATTAGCCAACTATCTATATTAATTTTTCAGAACCCTCTGCAAGGTATTTCACTTGATATTGTTTATTCCTTCTCCTGTCACGTTCTTCTTCTTGGGGACAATGTAAATATTTTAAACCAACTTCATAAATGTTTCTTAACTGTGTCTCCACCTAGCCCCTATCTTCCATTTGAACACTTGTGCATGACCTGTGTCTGGAATGTGTCCCATGGCCCAGGTTGTGCTCACCAGCCTTTTCAGTGTTGGCTTTTCCAGCTTTAAATGACATGTGTCTCTGAGGGAGCCCAGCCATCACCTTTTGTAACTTGCCCAGTGCTGTAAAGCACTCACATGTGTCTGCTTTTTATCCTGTCCATCATTCCGTCCCCAAAACACACAGTTGGTCACAGGTGGGAGCAGATAGCAGCCAGAGCCACTGAGCACCACGTTAGACTGTGCTTCACACGAGTGAGTTCTTTCTTAACATCTGAACAACAACTCTAGAACAAAGCATAGTGTCCAGCTTGAGGGTGCCTCATTAATAGAAAGAGCAGGGCAGGAGGATAAGGGGGAAGATGAATTAAGGATGGGAGATGTAGTATCTGACCTGCCTTGGAGATACACCTAGTTTCCCAGTGGACAGACTGCTCCACTGTAGTCCCTCCTTCCTCTGCTCCCTCCTCTGGGAACAGGCTCTAATGAGGATTGGTCCCTAACGAGGCAGAGTTCCCACTGACTGAGTTTCAATTCAGCCCCCTGGCTCAAGCCCCTCTTCTCCCTTTGCTGTGGTTGGCACTAACCATGGAGGAGCAAAGTGCTGTGGAAGGATACAGAGGTGTTAGCACTGCTAGAAGAATATGAATGGAGAAAATTCATGCAAGCAAGCACAGGAGGAAAAAAGAAGGAAATCTCACTGAAATCAGGCAAGAGGAGCAGGAGACAGTAGTGGGGCAGGCAGAAAGGGCAGAAGTACCAGGTGTGTTAGAGGGCAGATGAAGAGCAGCTACAGGCCTCCATACACCAGCACAATGCAGGGTGGCTGTGTGGGGCCAAGGAGCCTGGGCTGTCCCCTGGGCTGTCCACAAGCAGCTGGAACACCAGTGCCTGCCCCAATTCCCCTGGCCCAGGTACTGTCCTCCCTCCCATAGCTCAGCCTGGGTGCTGGGCTCAGGGCAGGGATGACCTTTGGGCCCATCACTGAGGGTTTGGTGACTTTCCTGCAGTCTTGCTTATTGAATCTTTTTATCCTTGAGTGCAGGCAAACACATTTGTGGGTACATGTGCTTAGTGAGTGCAACAAGCAGATAGACGTACATTGCTGAGAAATCCCTTACTCTTGGAGATCCCAAACAAAAGCTATCAAATGTAATTAAAAATTTGCAGGGGGAGCATCAGATCTGAGAGGGGCGATACCAGCTTTGCTCTCTGCTTTATCTCTGAATGGAACCGTTTCTGCTGCTGGAAATGCAGCAAGAGAGAGAGAGCCCAGTGCTGCCTCAGTTTGAAGATAATAACTTTAATTTTGGCTCCGAATTACTTTTTTTCAAAAGCAGTCTGACCTCTGACTGGTAAAGTTATTGAATTGCTACATCTGACGGGATGAAGGATAGCTCCACAGGTGGGAGTCAAAGCAGTTTGTATGCAGCAAGTAATGCAAACACTAAGAGCATTGCAAGTCATTAAATACAAATGATACATTCTGTGTTGCAAAAAAAGCCTGACTTCTTCAGTCTTTAAAGAAAAAGTGCTGCTTAACTTCCTTTAAAAAATGTTTTTCTCCCAGCTCGTTTCACATGGTAGTTTGTTCTCTTTGCTTGATTAAATGTTAATTCAGCCCATCCTAATAGTGTGGAGTTTCTTTTGTTGAGCTCTGGACTTCTGAACACCGTACATGAAGGAGAAAGTTGCATCAATCACAGCACAGTGAGAGCAAAAGACGGAAACCAGCGCTAATGCAATTAGCACATTTATTTGTCATGCATCAGAGGAGCTGGAGACCTCCTTGGCACAGGAGCTCCGGCTCCCGGCAACATCCCAATGGCCAGTGGAGCTGCTGGGAGGGACTAGAGGCCTCAGTCCTCTGAAGGAACAAGCTGGTGTGTGTCAGCATGCTGGCAGCATTCCTATCATACAAAACGCTCGGGGCAGGACAGTGGGTACATCCCCTGTCCCTCAACCCTGCTCTTCCAGCCAGCCCTTGCACCAAGCTCACGTCCTCTGAAGCCTTTATTCTTCATCCCGCCAGCTTGGCAGGATGTCACACAGCTGTCCAGAGCACTGTCCCTGATTCCCGTGGCCGTGTGGAGGTTCAGCAATGCTCACTGGTGCTGAAATGAAGAGGGGTGACAAAGCAGATCTGCAGTGCTGGCACCCAGGTGATGTCTCTCTGCTGCCCAGCCCTCACCGGGTGCCGTGCAGCCCTTTCTTCACTTGTCTTTTTTTTCCTGCAGCCGACATCGGCAGCTCTGCTCAGCACACACACCAGTTAGGGTAGCCATCTGTTCCCTTTAATGAGGAAACTATCCATTTTTTTTCACCTGATTACTGATTGTTCCAGACTATTGTTGATTGCTTTGTTTTATTAATTACTCATTTTGACATGCTGTATCTGTCCCTTTTGTTCAGAAAACAGATGCTCTTGTTTTCAGGCATTGTTACTGATGGTTATTGCTAATAAGATAAAGCCACAGTTCCACTTTAACTGAGGACTTAACACTGTGGTTCTGGTTATTGTAATGCTTCATCACTGGGTATTTTAGTTAAGCCTGAGAAAAATATTTTGTTCTCAGTGCCATGGGGGCTCTCATCATTTAAGGGAAAGGAATGCTTTTTATATCTTTTGGTGCAACAGGGTCAGTAGTTGTTGCTGTTCCTAGAGACTGTGATTTAACAAGGATAAACAACACTAATGCCATTCTGAAATCTCTTCGCTTATTAATCCCTGGTATGAAAGGCTGCAGGTTCTCATAAGAAACCTCTCAAGTCAAACTCATTTCCTCGCTGTGATTGAAACTCAGTAAAATTTGCTTTTCAGATTTTCAGACAAGGTGCACCACATCTTAGAAATTAAAATACAGTGGTCTGTTAGCAGTGAAGGAGATAGCATCGCTGCACCAGAGCTGAAGTGTTTCCACTGACAACTGCTGGTTTAAAATATTATTTCAGTAGCATGCTATAAGCCTTGAAAAACTGACTGTGTGTAGAGTCTAGATGGAAACCACGTTGTTGCTTTCTGCTGGAATTAGATACCTGCTCAGTTCAATTTTGAGAAAGTATTTATGAGGTGAAGTCAATTCTTACAAAATGTGGTCTCTCCTTCTGCAATAAATCCATTTGCTGATATTATGCTTTCATTGTGCTTATTCCCAGCTCCGAGCTCATGCGGTGGATATGAATGGAAACAAGGTGGAGAATCCTATTGACCTTTACATCTATGTGATTGATATGAATGACAACAGACCGGAGTTTATAAACCAAGTCTATAATGGCTCTGTTGATGAAGGCTCTAAACCAGGTACAGTTGAAAAAAAGTCTTAAAGTTATCACTAGCTTTCAAACATTAATCTGACGTGGTGGCTTTGACTCCTCTTGGAAGAGAGGGAATGTAGGAGAGGTTTGCTGTTGCTGGCTCTTTGTCGAAGACTGATGGGGGTGAAGCTGGTATCTCTCTGCATATAGAGAAGGTGCAGACATGGGTTTGAGGGAACATGGAGCCTCTTGGTCCCCTCCTAGATGTGGAATTTGCAAAAGCAGATTTTAATTTGGTCCAATTGCCTGTATTGCCATTCTCATACACCCATTACACATGTACAGGGCTGTTCTAACTACAGAGTACTGAAAGCAAACCCAGCAGTGGCCTCATCCTGAGCCTGAAATGCAGAATATCTGCCTCCTTTATATTTAAACCAGTCATTTGCAAACTCAATACCTGGCACCCATTCAGACTCAAGTAAAGTCTGTGTCCCAAGGTGTGAAAAATACTGTCTTGGCTGGGGCCTGATGCAAACTTGCTGAAATGGGAATATTCCCACTGAAGTTGCTGGCTCATCCTGTGTCCCCTTACAGAAGGTGAAATGGGGAAAAACCCGAAGTGGAATTTCAGAAAGTTATAGAGGAAAGATTAGTGAGGGTGTGAGCTGTATGTGGATTAATAGTTATGATTTTTATGTGCACTTCTTTATGTGCTTGGAAAAAAAGCAGTTATAAGGGTCATTAGTGTTTTCTTTTCAAATGTGGTGTTGATTTCTTACTGAAATATGTTGTAACAATCTAGTGTCCAATATGGTAACAGGGCTGGTTTAAGCTTATTGCTGAGCATAACTGAGCAGTCTAGTCATTCTTTAAGTAGAAATTGTGAAATCTCTCACCAGCAGTTTTGTAAGTCTCCTGAAATCTGGAAGAGATTTTTCCATGAGAAGTTTTACCCTCAATTGTTTGCCAGGTGAGGGGTTAAGTACCTTGTGACTTTTTTTTTGTGTCAGCAGACATTTGTCATGGTTTCTCTGCTGCCTGAGGTGTCATAGGAATGTCTCTGGTGGCCACTGTTTTTAACAAGGTGATTCACAGTCGTGATTGATTGTCTTTCAGCATTGTGAGGAATGGGCAGCTGCAGTGACACATAGTGGGGACAGAAAGTGGGATTATTTTTGAGGATGGAACAGGTACAGCTCTCTCCTTGATATGCTTTGGATGGTGATGTGCAGCTTAAGTGCTGATCCTGGTGCTGCTTGGCAGAGGGGATGTGCAAAGTCCCTGTGTTGACGGCTCTAATGACATCTTCCTGGAGGATTTTCTGGGTTTTGTTTGAAGGCCGTTTTGGGGTGTCTCACAGTTTGAAAATTGATACAGCATTTCCATAGGAAATCAAACTTATTGCGTCTTATTCTAGGACAGATCAATATTCAGTGTTCCCAAATGTTTTAACTAGCTCTGCTCATTTGTGTGAAAGAAGCAGTAAATTGCATCCTCTTCTTGTCAGAAATCCAGATAAGCCTTTGAGCTATTAAATCAGAGCAGGATAACTTTACCTACAAAATACTTGTGCCTCCGCTTGTACCAGTGATTCTTGGTACTCTGTATCCAGGCTGGAGTGCCTGCCTTTAAGGCAGGCAGGTAGAAAGCAATCTGTTTTTATTCAAAAGCAATTACATTTGTCTTTGATGTATTCGGTATGGGTTTTTTTCCCTCTTCCCTGTTTAATCAGTGTTCTTTTAAAGGTTTATTTTAGTATTGAATTTCTGTTCTTTGCTTTTGTAAAACCTCCAGGGAGTTTGGGTATCTGAGGCCCTCTTTCCAAGTACTTGGCAATAAACATGATGATGTGTCTTTGAGATAGTGATAGAGAGGTCATAGAGTTAGTGTGAATGTTTGCGTGCTCCTCCTTTGCCTCAAAGTTCATATCCCTGTTTTGTGTAGACACAAGTCTAGACAATGTATTTACCTAAGCCTGGGTCTTGCTGAGATTTGGAAACTTTTTTATAGTTCAAGATGCTTCAAACTATTATAATAACTAAGGAGGTACCACACCAGACTTTGCAAGAGAAAAAGTATGTGGGCAGAATTTCTGATCATTTGTGGCAACGGTCAACAAATGAAAGACACTGTTTTGTTAGAGGTAACAGCAAAAAGTGTTTAGTATTGATTCAACAGTAAGTGATATATGTACATGCATCTATAAATATGTATATGTGTGAATACGTGTAAAGTACAGATTTGCTTCAAGCAAACTAAAAAATCTTATTATACGTTGCATGAGTTCAGGATTCATTTTCCACTGTTCATTGCTATTGAACTATGCCTGAGGACTGAAAATGCTTCCCTGGATATCCTGTACAATTGTTATTTCTCACATCTTCCATATGCCCATTTATAATGGTTGTGATTAAAAATGCAGTATTACTCGATTACCACAGTATCTGCTATGTTCTTAATAATTCTGCACACCTCTTGTGAGAAAAGTAGCTAGAGTATTAAGAGTATCCCAAATAAATGCTGACTCTGAGGGTAGCTAGTGTGAGCAGCCAATGACTGTTTGAAGGCGGTAGGAATTTTGCCCAGATAAAAAAGAGACAAAAGAGACATATGGAACTCAAGCTCTACGCGTGGAAATTTTGCAGAGCAAGACCATCAAAAATATGCTGTTGAGCACAGACTGAGCAGGACGCAGTGACCTTGAGCTGCAGGGAAAGCCCTTGTAAGGCTTTAGCAGGATCAATAGAACAAATCCCATTCGAGCTGAAGAGGAAAGGGCTTTTTGGTGCTGTCACTGCCCACCCTGGGGACAGGGCCCGGCGGCAGCAGCCAGTGGGTGCTGTAGTGTGAAGTGCAGCCTGGTCCCCCCTCAGCAACTGGGATGTTGGGGGCTGGGAGAGCACCATGCCCTGGAGGAAAGCTGCAAGTTGTGCCTGACCATGGCAGGGGATGGAGGGTGGCCCAGGTGCAACCTACTGACTCTGCAGTGATTAAGCCAAAAGGAGACAAATTGAACCAAGAAAATGGGACTGCAGGAAGGATGTGTACTGCAACCTGTGGCACAGGGTGATACTGCTGGGCATTTAGCCTGTTACAGAAGGAGCAAGTTTGTTTTAGCCTAAAATACAAATATCCTTCAAAGGAGATTGTCCAAGAGCTGGAAGAACTGGCAGCAATGTGAAGAGACTCATTAGAGACAGTCTAATAGGGTTTAAGTGGAGGGGCTTCCCAGATTGTGGAGCACTCAGGCTGCCTGGGTTTCCAAGGAGCGTGCTCTCTGCAGCGTGCAGGTCACCTTGAAGCAACTCTTGACATGAATAGAAAAGAAATCATCAAGTATTATTAATTATAATAGGTTGTTGTTGCTGGTTAAGATTATAATAACTTAATTGAAAGAGT